GGGGGGGGGGGACAACTTTTGAGAGAGTTTGAACCTAGAACTGGGGGTGTTTGCATAGAATCAGAGTTTTCCGGAGCCAAGAGGTTGGCTACCGGGGAAGGAGTGTGGAAGGTCGTGGGAGTCCGAGCGAGTCCGAGCGCATTGCCGGTGCCTCCTTGCTGTACTCCAGCGGCCCGCAGGAAACTGGAATTAGTGGGTAAGTTTTGGCGTCAGGGCAGTACAGTCTTCCTGCCTCAGGCGCTTCGGTCGGCAGAGGTTCCGCAGTGGGGCGCTGCCGGGGTGCTGGACGCCTGTTTCCGTTCCTGGCTCAGGCTGTTCTGAGTAAGAGCGACCGCGTTCCTGACTGACCGCCCTGGCTGCATCTCGCGGGCACTGGCACGTAGTAGGAACCTTCAGAAAGGACTTCCTCTGGGTGGCTGCCCAGGACTAGCAAGGTGCAGTGGGTGTTTGATACTGAGAGTGCCACCTAAGGATACTTTGGCGCCGCGTTGCCCGCCGGGCGCTGACATAATTAAAACGAGTGTGTCCAACTCATGTGCAGTGAGGAGTACAGGAGCCCAAGCACTGTCGTCTAAGGGCTTTCAAAGAGGGAATGTCATTGTTGAGTCAAAGTTATAAAAAGGTCTTCAGGCCACGTTTTCCCTGGAGTCCAAAGGAGTCACAGGGCGCCCTTTTAACTTAGCAAGAAAGTTTTTCATGGTCTAAATAATGGTGTGTTTTACTGGTTCACAAATATATTCCCAGCTTTAATTAGCTGGGGGTTTGGGGCTGCTTGTCGCTTGATCTGTGTGTCGCTGCTAGCTTGAATGTAGCCCTCGCCAGGAAGTGGACTTTGGGTTATTGGAAGAAGTATTGAGTTAGACTGAAGGAAAAAGCCAGAGCTCCATTATACACGAAAAATGCCATTCTTGCTACGAAAATACACAACTTGAAAATAACCGAATGAGCAAGGAATGTTTCCTGTCCACTAACGACAGCCCTTTGAATGTCAGCTTCCAAATTACCCAGGCCACGTCAGATTGAAAGAAGGTTAACTGGGCATGTGGTAGGATGTCAACTTAAAAACCGACAAGTTCTTTAGGAACAGAATTTAAGTTTTACAGTTAGTGATCTAGAACTTCTAAAGCTTTGTGAAAAAAAAGCTACTCAACGTTCCCGTGGTTTAAAATTGGGAAAGGTGGTCACTTTTAGAAAAGAACATGCCAAACTGACTTTTATTCCCATTGGTCAGTCATACTCAGAAAAAAATTAAATGTGATTCCTTTTGTTTTGCAGGTAAAAATTTAGTTTAGAAGCAGACACTTTTTTTCCTACCAAGGATGCCTGTTTCTACTGAAGCTGCACTTTTTCCTAATGTTATAGTTTCATATGTGAATAGGTGCTTTAAAAAACTTTTTTCCTAATTGATTATCATACTTTCAAGACTAGGCCCAAGTAAATGTTAAACACTTTATGGATTAATCTTACTGGCTTCAATTATTTAACTTTTAAGACTTCTCAGCTGTAATGTGTTTGTTCCTCTTTATCACCTGGAGTTTCCTGTTAGTTTAACTAGAACTGATGATACAGTAGGGGAAAAAAAACTGTCTAATGTCACAAAAATACTTTTTATAAGCTTTCTCAAGTTTTTCCATACTCATGACTTTTGAGATTCCCCTTTGTCTAGGCATGTATGTGGTCAAACTAGAGAATATCGATTGTCCTTGGATGTGATAAAGCCATATTATTTTTAAGCCAGTTGAAGACTGGCTACAGAACCAAATGAATTGGTACCCTGGTGTAAAAACTTTTATCTCATTTGACAGTCCCAACAGTTTTTCATTTCCTTTATAGAAGTAGTTGGGCAGTATTGATTAATAACCCTTTCAGTAGTTTGCTGTTTGAGTTTTTCTCATTTTAAATTCAAATTACTATAGACTATATAGTGCTATAGATAATTACTATAGAAGAAAGGAAACTTTTTTTTCCCACTGAATGTGTCCTTCTAATGAGTTGTATTTTTATAGGAAGGCAGGAGAAATACTGTTTTCAATTGTTGTGTAAAAAACCTAGTGTTTCAAAATTGGTGGAAGTTTTTGTTTTGGCAACTACTTGATGAATAAGAAACATAGAATAGAGCAGGTTAAATGACTTGCTTAAGTTGCTGTATAACAAATAATAACTTGGTTAAGAGCTAATAGTTTGAGAAGTGTATAGTATTTGTAGTTTGTAAACTACAGTATTGGTAGTTTAGTAGATAGGTAATTAGTAAATATCAAATGGCGCAATTTTGTTTTGGTATGATTTCTGGAGATGTCAAATTTTTGGAGAAATCTCATAACCATGACAGATTCCAGCCTTCAGATTCAGGTACTGATTTTATCACTTCAGATAGAGAAATAAGTAGGTTTGTGGGGGGTGCAGAATGGGTGAGTGTGGTACACAATTCAAACCTGTTTCCTTCAAGCTTATTTTTTTTTTTAAAGATTTATTTATTTATTCGTACAGAGCTGGGGTACAGGCCAGAGATGCGGAGGGTGAGAGGATTCACCAGAGACAGAGCGGGAAGCAGAACAGGCAGATCGACTAAGCACACTGCTGAGGGGAGCAGCGGGCGGGTCAGGAGAGGTCTGCCACGCCATGTGGTCACCTCCGGGGCAGGCGGGAATCGAACTCATGCGGAAGCGGCTCTTTAGTTTCTTAGTGCAGTGCTTTAACCCGCTGCGCCACCAGGGAGGGCCCTCAAGCTTATTTTTATAGTCATACTGTGCATAGCTATCTGTTAAAAAGGTATCAATTCTTTAGGTAATACTTTGATACCACAGGAGCTTAACAGATGATAAGGTTGATCTTAACAGGATGATAACAGGTTTTTTGTTTACAACACTGTATTTGATTCAAAGGCACAAGATCACACCGCCTCAGCTGTATGTTACGCTGTATGTTACCACACTACATCTACCACCAAGACACCTTGGGCCCTCCAGCATAATCCCTCTCCTTTTTGTATCTCCCCACTCCCTCACTTTGCCTTAGTAGCCTCAATTCAGTCTGATTTCCTGGGGTTCCACATATAAATGTAACCATCCAGTAAACCATTTATGTGTCTTTCTCCCTATGTTTTACTTGCATAGCATTTTCCTCTTTAATTCTATCCATATTGTCACAAATAGAAAGAATTCATCTTTTTTTCTTAATAGCTGAGTAGTATTCCGATGTGGACCCGTACCACATTTTTGTAATCCATTCTTCTGTCCTGGTGTGTGTAGATTGCTCCCATAACTGTTGTAAATAGAGCTGCAGTGAACAAAGGTTAGATCTATTTTTAATAGTTTGAGAAACCTCCATATAGGTAACAGATTTTTTTTTTAATTTTTTTTAATATTGATTTATTTATTTGTGCATACAGAACTGGGGTACAGGCCAGAAGCTTAGGGGCAGTGAGAGGCTTCACCAGTGAGAGTGGGGAGCAGAACAGGCAGATCTACAAAGTACACTGTTGAGAGGAGCAGCAGGCGGGTCAGGAGAGGTCTGAAACGCCATGTGGTCACCTCCGGGGCAGGCGGGAATTGAACTCATGTGGAAGTGGCTTTAGCTTCTTAGTGCAGTGCTTTAACCCGCTGCGCCACCAGGGAGGGCCTAGGTAACAGATTTTTTAAGATGCAGATTTCTCATCTGGTTTTAGTAGACAAATGAATCTCAATTTTGATACACCCAGTTGCCATCAGAAAACGTTATTGCTGGACTTTACAAGAGTTGACATTGCTGTTCTAGAGAGGGATCTTTTGTTTTTTTAAGAAACAGCGTAATTTGCTTTAAGAAAACACAGATTGAGGAATGATTATTTACTTAAAGCACTTTTCTCTAAATACTGAGTTTATGTGATATACTCACTTTTCAAGTTGGTGAGATTATTTTCAGATATACCTAAAAAGGGAAGTCAAATCATAAGTTTTATTTAAACTCCAATATATTAGCACTAGCTTTTCTCTGGTAAGACTCATGTCCCATCATCAGTATGTGATAATAATTTTTTGTGATATTAATTTTTAATAAGTGTTTATCAGTGCTGCAAAACCGGGATATAATGGGATTTCTATGATTAAGAAACTATAACATTTCATTGCTATTGGTCTTAGTAACTCATTGAACCTAATTTTCCTATTGAATATTGAAAATTTTAAAAGTTGTGCCACATTCTGTTTTTTAAGGTGAGTGCTTACATAACTTCCTATCCCAAAATGAGGTTATAGAGAATAAATTTTGGAGTTTTTCCTTCCTTCCTTTCTCCTTCCCTCTCTCCCCTCCTTCCTCTCCCTTTCCTTTCTTTCTAATCTTTCTGATTCGTAGTACTGGTAAATTCAAATTACTACAGGGTAGGTAGGCTCATTAAATCAGCGGTTGTTGAGTGGTTTGAAATAATCCTTTGTCCCTTACAGCAGGACAGAAAAAAATAAATATTGTATGATTTTAGTTAGATAAGGTTTGTTTTCAAATATATGTAGGTTTATTGTTGAATGAGGTAACCTTTGTAGTATAGAAGTTGAGAATTACATTCAAGTTTATTTTTTTAATGATGCACTTGTGTGTACTTATTTAGTCCTAGGGAGCTAAATGTCTTATTTACTTTTTTTCCTGACCTTTAGCATCACAGTTCTGAGTGTAAGAATTTGGAAAGAGAGGTTGTTTTTGTGTAAAACAAATTGGGACTCTATTGTTGCCTGGTGACCAAGTTCATTTCTTGACTTTGAAATTCTAGTGCAGGATTCTGGTCATTTGAAAGTCATCCTGGTTAATCCTCATGGAAACATTCAGCTAGAATTGGGCCCTCTTTTCTAGAAATCATCCTACACTAGTTGTTTGGATTTTCTGGTAATTTAAAAATTTTTATATAAAGCTGTAAAAGCAATAAGAATGGTTATGCCCAAATTACAACTTTTGAAAATGTTACTATACTATGGAAAAACTTCATAGTAATTAGGTATTGGGTTTTGCTATACTTCATAATTATTTTTAGCATCTTGCATTTTTATTTATTTAACATAGGACCAGACTCGGAAAAGGCTGAGACTTGCCATGACCAGAATTTAGATTTAAAGAGTATACTATTTTTCTTCAATATAACATTTGCTTAAGGACTTTCCTGCCTGGATTTAAATCCTGGTTCATGTGTTATTTTGGGCAACTTTCATACTGGTATCCTATCTGTAAAATGGA